AGAGGATGAATAGGATTCGTCAGATTTTAAAACGAAGAGTTTTCGTTAGACGGTTTGCGGAAAAACAGAGAAGAGTTGAATGACTCTTGATTTGACCACAGAGGTCTATTTATAGATAGTTATGAGCTGTCAAATTGGAATGATATTCTAGATAAGAATCCCGCCTAAACATGACCTATGCGTTCGTGTTAAAGTTGGTTGAACTTCTGACGCAAAGCTCACCTCTGCATCCCAAATCCTAAGCATAGGATTCACTTATGCGTTTCAACGCCACAAAGCAAATATTTCAACCAACAGGGCTATCGTACAGCTTCAGATAAGTAGAGAGAAGCTAACGATGGTTATCAAGGTAACGAAAGCTGAAAAGAAAATAGCCTATGTAGAAGTTATGTAGCCTCGTGGATGAGTACAGACAGGTTATAATCAATAATACTGATACTATCAAGTCCGATCCATCACGCAACTCATTCTCCTAATGGCTTAACATTCTAACCAAGATTAATAAGGATATTGTTAAAATCATTACTCCGGTTTAGTTGATCAAGAAATGAGAAAAAGTGGGTTCTTCTGAGGTTGCTCTCCTAGCCAAACTTGGGATAAGATCCTTCTCGTACGGGCTTGTGGTTCTCTCTGTCTATGACAATGGATCTGTCTTCAGCCCAAATATGCTTTACTCCACTAAGGATGGCCTCGTTGGCAAGTTTGCAGCTGGTGTTTCTATGGTTGTTTCATTGTCACTGGATCTTTCTTATCCAACTCTTGCAGTTGCGCCTTGGGTGCTCATCAGTACTTACAAGAATCTTTTTTTTTCGGTGTTGTTGATACTGAATGCACCTTCATACAAGTTGAAGGAATATCTCAAGGATCTAAGCAAATTAGCTTTAAAAGTTTCCTCTTCTGTTGCATCGGCTGAGAATGTTGTTATTCCTGATGCTAAAGAAGAAGAAAGAGTTAATCCTACTAATGGACCTAACAATGGTGACTTAGACTTTAGCTTGTTTGACTAAGTTTATTATCATCAAGACACAAAAGTTATCTTGTTTGGTTTAAGGTGATCGAAATTATCTTGACTACTTCTACATGAGATTGCAAAGAATCGCTAATACAGGAAGCAGAACTGTGACGTACAGCAAATTCTGACAACCAAATTCATAATGCCTCTGAAATAGATGAAGTGAACAATCAGCCATGCAATGATAACTAGAGCTTTAGCTTATTTGACTAAGTTCATTGTCATCAAGGCACAAAAGTTATCTTGTTTGGTTTAAGGAAACTGAACTGTAACGTTCCAATAATTAGGTTCGCAATGTCTTCGAATCAGACGGAGTGAACGATCATTCAATAAACTTTAGGATCCAAAATATTCCAAAAATTCGTCCCAGTCAACCGCGAACTTTCAAAAACTTTGGAGGGGGTTCTGTAGGCTGTCTAAAACTCACAACAGATAGCTGACCCTTATCAAACTTTAATCAACATCTCAACAATGAAAGTTACAATCAAACGACTTTCACGTTAATAAAACGAAAGCTGTAATTGGAGGATTTTCACGTATATCGAGAAAGGTTACAATTCAACGACCTTCAGGATGACTGATGAAAACTCTGATTCAACAGTCTTCACAATCAACCATGAGAGTTACAATCTGACGAGTCTCACATCCCAAATAGCTAAAGCGAAGATTACAGAATAACAGTCTTTACAAATGCTCCAATAGAGGAAGTTACAAGTCAACAACCACTTCTAAACACAAAGTTCACCTCTGCGTTCAATTTTCAAAACACAGGCGGCCCCTACATTTTCAATTTTTAGCAGCCACCCAACTCTACGTCTTAAGCCTAAAACGCAGAGTTAGGGCCCAGAACGCCCACTTCGGCATTTGACTCGTTCAAACACGAGCTGAACGGTTTTAAAATTATTTTCCTCACGATTTGAGGAAATCTCGCCCACTTAGGAACGGATTAAGGGGTCGGTTAGACCCCTTATCTTCATATAAATCTCAATAAACTCAACAGAGTTAAGGGTTGGCCTTTTGGATCAGATAAAATCATGAGGAGATCGGCTAGAGAGAACTTCTTGGCAACAAAGAGATCTTGAGGCATCCTTCAGCAACAGCAAATTCACTTGGCTATTAACTGAATTTTCGGTTCAAACAACTCTTTTCACAAAGTTTAAAACTCACTCTAAAGTTCATAAACTCGTTAAGAGATCTTTTCATTCTTGCCACACAAGTTTATTGTTCTAGTAAAGGAAGACGTTCATATCGTCAATGGAGAGCAAACACGGCACGAGCATTCGAGGGAGGCACTCCATCGCCACCGTGAAGAACCCAGAAGTAAACAAAGGGGAGGATTTATATTGATCTTCTTCTCTTTTGTAATCGAAAATTCAAATTGTAATCAGTTAGAGATCGAGAGAGTTGTAAACATTTTGTTTCTAATCATTGAGAGGGAATAAATCAAATTCAATTCTTTCGATTGTCTTCTTACAAATTTCCCACCAAACAACCGCCGAGGTCTCATTACGGGAAAACAACCAAATACTCCTAGTGTGGTACAGCCGAGGTCTCATTATAGGATAAACAACCACACTGAGCATCCATAACTGATAAACAAAACTTTTTCATAGGTTAATTCATTATCATCAACCCAACGTGTATCAACTATCTCAATAATACATGTCAAATCATATGAACCGAGTGTACATGCACATATCTCGATGTGTGTGTCCATATCTGGTGTTCACCAACATCACAGGTGTTAAACAACTCCTAAACCTCATCATACAACATTCAAGGTTGAGAAACTCTCTCGAAAACATCAACGTGTGTTCAAAACATGCACATGCTAACTGCCAGACTGGCGATCGACCGCATACATGCAGCTATCGACCGAACCGCAAACCAGAAGCTTCCCAGGACTCTATCTGACATGCGGTCACCCGCCTTTTAGGCGTGGTCAACCGAACCCGATATTTTTAGAAATCGTGTAGGTTTCTGTACAGTTGTGTTCGTGTCGTGTTCTTGTAATTTAAACTTGTTTAATACAATATGAAACTTGCATGAAACATTAAAAACAGCAGATTAACATTTCTGGGGAATAATTTCAACATATAAAACATGATTATTTGCATAATAAATCATATTTAAACCCTCAATCATGCATGAAACCTCAAAACAAAGAACAAATCATCTAAATTTAGATAAACAACATTATTAATCATTTTTAGATCTTAAAACACTTCCGTAAATTCATGCTTAATCTCTTTAACATGAAAAGACCTAGTCTTTATACATATAATATAAAAGATCTGCTTTTTATACACAAATTAATCAATTAGGCTCTTTAAAACTTATTAAACACTCTTTAAAAATATTTTAAAACAGGGAGAAGGATTAGCAAAGATAAAACCCGCCTGAGACTTGATCTAAATCGTGAGAGATGAAGTTTCAAAGCTAATCTCCAAGTTGTAAACCCAAAACAATCCGAAATCTCGCTCAAAAGCCTTCAAATCTTTTTTAAAAATCAAAGTAGGATTTATGGGGGAGTTTGGTGACTGCTAGGGTTTCAAAATACTAAAAAACTCATGAATAATTGATATATATATCTCATGAATAATTGATATATATATATATATATATATATATATATGAGAAAATGGGAGGTGAGCTGGCAGCGTAGGAAATTTCCTGCGCTGCAAGTGTATGACATGTGAGCCCCCCTACTAGTCACATCGGTGTGGGGCTCACATGTCATACACTTGCAGCGTAGGAAATTTCCTACTATCGCGGTCTACCGTGACGGTCGACCGCGGCGGTCAACCGGACTGGAATTTTCCAGCTCCTCAAGATTTGCCTTTGTGCATGTTTTCGATTCGCCTCTTTCACATTTACTGACTTGTTTATACTCAAAAGACTTGTTAGTGTACTCATTCACCATGAAATGATATTTATCATAATAAATATCTACTTATTATAATTACTCACATATTAATTATATTATCATAAATTTTCGGGGTTTTACACTTATGAAGCCTATAAATATAGCCCTAGGGCCTTCATTTAGAGGGATAAGGAATTTCGGAGCAAGAACGAAGCCCTATCGAATTGGAGAGTGAGGAGCACGAATTTCAACAAGGAGGAAGCAAGTTCTTGGCGAGTTCTTCGGCAAAAAGGAGGAGAGTTCGATAGATCTGCAACCGCTTCAGCCTCGTTGATCTGCTTCCCTTGAGATCTCATTGTTACTGTGATCTCGAGAAGAGTTTTTATCTCACCGTTGCTGAGATATTCACTTTAATGTTTTATCTCCTTCGCAAGGCAATGAAATGAATCAGATCTGATCATTTGGTGGTCCACGGATAAACCCCGACACCGGCAAAGATCCCACACAAGCAGAAGACTGATAAACGATCTCTCTACGTGTGTTTTCTAGAAAGTTATAATTTTTCAATCTCTTTTGTGTAGAGATATCTTATAAAAAGACTCCTCTTTTGAATTCGTTGTAAACGCCTGAAGTTGTAATGAATTCCTCAAATGAATCAACTTTCGACGCGAACAATATACCCCTCAAATCTTACTCTTAAAATCTTGGTATTTTCCGAATTATCCTCTAATTCTTAAATATTGAGTTTTTCTACCCCTTTCACTTGATGATTTTAGTTTTTAAACATAAATTATAGTAAACCTACTGAAGTTATTAGACCATTTTGACATTCTCCTATTTAGAAAGTGTTATTGTTACGTTAGGGGGGGTTCATATTGTTAAGTTAGAGGGGTAGAAGAACCCATTTTTGAGAGATTTGGGGGTAAAAAACCAAGACCTAGTGGGAAAATTTGCAAATACAAAGATGTGAAGGGTATATATGCAAAAACCCCAATGTAATTTTCTTGCCGAAAACGTTGACGCCACACGTGCCACCAACACGTGGCGGGCTCAGCGTGATACGCATCTTATTAATAAAGTTCAGGCATTTGTTGCCATCCTGGCACCGTCTTTGATGGCCAAATAAAAAAAAGGATAAAAAAGGGGGGAAAAAACTATTGCTTCGATATTTAAGGAGACGAACCGTTTCATTCTCCCTAGTTCTGACTCTTTTTGTCTTTGGTTTTGGAGATGGAAATATTGGAGCTATTGAGGTTTGTCCTCTGAATATATTTTATTTTTTTGACTTTATTTTACGATGGGTTTTTGTCAAAGTTTGCAACTTCGCTTTTATTTCGCCCGTTTTTCCTAATTTATCATTAAGAAGTCCAGGTGTTTTAATTTTTTATTAATTATTTCTAAATGCCTAAATGCTTTAGGTTGATCTTTAGGAAAATATGCTTATGTTGGAAGGCAAGATTTGGATCTGTTATTGCACTGAAATGAGAATATAGTTGTAAGTTTGAGTATGTTCACATATTTGTTTATGTGCACAATTAGGATCAATTTGAAACCATATTAAAATTTCAGATTCTGAGCTACATAATTGAAACCAAAATAAAAGAGAAAGTTTCATGTGGAGACTAAAAGTTCGTAAAGTTGAGATATTGTAAGAAGCTAATCCTGTAGAATTGCATCCTATTTTATCAAGAATGTTAATTGTCAACTATGTTTGTTTAGTGACATCCGTGTGTTTATCTTTTGTTTCATATTTGATGCTCTTTATCGTTGGGGGGAAAAGAAGGGGAAGAAAAGCAAAGGAACAACAATAAGGAAATAAAGTTAAATTTTGGGTTAATTGCTTTGCTAGGAAAACCTAAAATAAAGTTGTTCACTGGCGAATTCAGGGCCCTTTCTATCCATCCTTGAGAGCCACATGCAGCAATGCCCATGTCTGTAGGTTGAAATTTCAACTTAATATGCTCAATCCTATGTAAACAAGTTTAAGAAAGACTAACTTCATGACGGAAAGAATTTGCAAACGAGGGTGCCCATCAAAGTCACAAGCATATAAGACCAGGATTAGAACCATATAATTTGTCAGAGTCAAAAATTAACAAATTCATATAATTGGATTTAAGCCCAAGTGCATATCTTAAATTAGTACACAAGGCCCAGCCTCTATGGGAGTCGGTATATAATGTTCCATATAAATAACTTCTAAATATCAATATGGTATATGCTTTCTTTAAAGTTAACAAAGTGAAAAATAAATAAACAAGCACGAAGAGTAGTCCATATCAGTGTAATACAGATAAACTGCTAGACATACTGAAGTTCTCTTCCACATATTATAGATAAATTACTGAAGGCTTTAAGGTGTGAAATCATATTTAATTTTTTTTGTTAAACTATATTCTATTTTTATAGTTTTAGGCTCACAACTTTCTACAGAGATGCAAGATATCGTATGTTCAGTTCCTGATTTGTAAGACTCATGGAAGTTTGGTCCCATCTTTGGCTTAAATCTGATCGAACTTGGTCAAAAGATCGGGCTCAGCCTAATTTCCAGGCCTAAGCATATTAACACTGGACGGCTACTTAGCAAGTGCACATGTGGGTGATGATCTTTATAACCAACAGAAATTTGGCCCTAGTCTGGCCATTGGCCAAAACTGGTTTAGAATTGGTCAGAAAAACCAAGGCGTTGCCTAATGCCCAACTCTAAGCATGCTAACACTGAGGCAACTACTTAACCAATGTTGAGGAGTGAGGACCACAACTAGGATTTTGTAAGCAGAGATGCAACTAGACCTTGATCTTATGGGGTGCAATGATCATATGTGTATCTGTGTGTGCGTGTATATACATGGAGAGAAAGAGAGATGTGACTAGATGCTATCAATATGATTTAAGCATGAATCTCATCCATCTTATTTTTGCAAAACAAATAGATGGTCCATATCTGGAGCAGCTGCATTGAATCTCATCCATCTTATTTTTGCAAAACAAATAGATGGTCCATATTTGGAGCAGCTGCATTGCAGACTTGCAGTACATCGGAATTGTTACTGGAGCAGCTGCATTGCAACTGCATTGGCTTCTTGTTGGAGGCAGGAAACTAGTGTCCTGCATGATACATCATATCCATAATATTGCAAAGTTGGCTACTTATACGACTGAAATGACAGTCCTAAGAACATATAACAATAATTGTTTCACCGTGCAGTTTAACACTTGTCCTTAACACGGTAGATAGACAGATATAGATGCAGTTTGGATTTACCTATTATCTTAAGGTTCAGCCTGGAAAGTCGACACATATTGTACTTCACATACAAAACACATGCACATACACATATATGTCACAATTATTACAAGGCATATTGTAAGATTTAGCATAGTCAGTTGGTGCCCGTTACCACTCGGGCTACAGGTCCATTAAGACCTGAAATTGCTGACACATATTGTACTTCACATACAAAACACATGCATATACACATGTCACAATTATTACAAGGCATACTGTAAGATTTAGCATACTCAGTTGGTGGCTGATACCACTTGGGCTACAGGTCCATTAAGACCTGAAATTGCTGTAATGTTTGGGAATTGCTGGCAGCTAAACCATCAACTGCAATAGGCTGGTCTCTGTTGTTTCCTATCTCTTTCCTTCCATGCTTCTCTTTCTCCATTACCTTAACAGAAACACGTGGAGAAGTGAATACTCAATCAAATATAGAATCTATTGTTTATTATTATTATTATTTAAGTTTCTTACCGACTCCAGGAACCTTCTCTGCTCTAGCAGCAACTTTCTCTGCATAGCATATAAAAACAAGAGCGGATTTGGATGCAGTATAGTTAGTGCAATGAGTTCATAGAGCAATGTTTTAGCTTGTTTCCCTTTCATTTAATACATGAAAGGGGCAAAAACTCATTCTGCTAAAATAAAATAAGGTTACATTTATTTGCTTGATTGTTTGGCTCATTAAAACTTTCTGCAGATGGGATTTTGCTTATTCTCTTGAACTGTAATGGTCCGCTACAGTATAAGACGTGCTTCTGCAGTTGTTTGTTCTGCTGAGTTGCAGGTACTCAATTCCATTCTATCAATTACACCCACACATGGTAACTTATTCTTCTGCGATAAACTTGTCTGGATGTCATCAATAAGAATTTTATTTCACTTTTATTATGGAGTTATCCTATTTCTGAATGTTCACTGCAAATACGAAATGTTTGGAAGAATGTTTGGGAATATGTGGCAGGTTGATGGTTGTGATTTATGACGACAGTGTTTATAAACCAACAATTATTTAGATGCTTCCTATCTATGAACCAATTACTTAAAAGTCAATTATTGCCTTTAGCCAGCAATCAGACTACTAAATGATGAGTGTCAATTTCTTACAAATGAGAATTCACAATGCATTTACCTGTGTACTTCTGCTCATTTAATTCGATGGTTATTGATAGCACCTAGTTGATTAGTTTACTGTGTTGGATGATTTTTTTAGTAGCTGTTGCAGTGTGCATGACTGAAATATGCTTGTGTCTGTATGTATAGTAATTAGTGAGGATTGCTATGATGTGTTGAAGTTCATGCTTTTTCTTAGCTATCTGCAATGTGAAAGGGTCATTCATGTGCGGACGATGGGTTATTGGGTATGTCTGGGATTTATGTACATGTGTAGCAACAATAGTGAGAGTGCACACAATGCCCATGCTAGGATATGACCAAGTTCAGTTTGTAAGTTTTGACCTTAGTTTGGATTAATGCTTCCAGCCGATATATTTTATATTATAAGCATGTACATCATTATTTAAACTTTGTACTTGATCTGACTAATATTACGTATTCATTATCATTTTAACTCACCTCATCAAGGTTCACTTATTAGAAGATCTTTATTGTAGTATTAGTGTATCATCGACCAAACATCAGGCCAAATCTTGGGCTGAACCAGTCAATAGCTTCGTTAATAATAATACACAAGGTGTGGACCATTATGACAAATAATGAATAACATCAGTAACTAATAGCATGAAAGTATAATTTTGGAAGAGGTCTCATGTATAAATTTGGAAACTTGGTAAAGTTAAGAACCCTAGTTTAGAGTATCATGCAGATAAAAGGAGTCTTGACTCTTGAGTAATTGGTTTGAAAGGGATATTGGTGTATGTACCTGTGGTGAATTCTTCAGTTAAAGAACGTACGCATAAATGCGAACTCCTAGCATATGTCAGGCATCAATATTGAAGATGGACATATCGAAGAATCCATCTCAGATATGAGGGAAAACTAAACAGAATTAACAAATGCTTTTATCTTTTTCTTATTAGGTGAGATGGATATAACTTGAGTAAAGAGATTCTTATTGATGGTTGTCATCTCACAGGGGAACAAGGGAGGGCAAGAAAATTTTGAATGATTTGAGTTCTGTTTAGTGAAACGAGGTTGTCATTGTACATGTTGGAGGAGACAATTTTTTGATATAGTAAAGCTAAATAGCAAGAACAGTTCAAGTTCTGTAATATAACTCTGTAACATTCATTCTGTGCGATACATCCACGATTTAATTGAAGGAGCCATGAGCGAGAACTCCGTAATGTTCGTAGGCATTTGGAATGTAGATAACACAAAACAAGGGGCTATATCATATAGATAATAGTTGTTATATTGGGCAATTTATCAGAGATGTACCTTCTCATGGAGTTTCGTAAGCATGTCCATCATTAAGTTAGCCTGCATGAAGAAAATGTGAGATTTGAGTCTTAATACATTATTAATGAGGTTTATTTATATGCTTATCACGTTGTATATTGATCAAATTTTCTTTTCAGGTATATTTTTAGTATAAAGAATAACAGCAAAATAAATTCATGGACAAGAGAGATCATCATAAAGTAATGGTAGCACTACATTTTTGGGCCCCACATATACATACAGACAGAATCTAGCATTCATGAACTTGGCATGTGAAGGACTAATCTCATAAACTCCCATCAGATAGCATTGTATCAGTGGATTTATATAATTACCTGGGTTCTAGCTAACTATATCTATGGATGAAGGCAACAAAAAGATGATAATAAATAAAACATGTAAATGATGAAATAAATTTTAGATGTGACCAAATAATCTTGAATCCAATGATTAAATGAAGTGATCAAAAGGAACTTTTCTCTGGGGGGGCGGGAGGGGGGGGGGGTCGGGGGCGGGGGGCGGGGGGGGGGGGGCGGCGGGGGGGGGGGGCGGGGGGTGGGGGGGGGGGGGGGCGGGGGGGGGGGGGGGTTCAGTAGAAAATGGATTAACCTACACTGTTTCCTGGAAAACGCTAGTATAATTCTGTCGCGAGTTCAGATAACTATATAATCATTTGAAAGGAAGTTGTTGAATTGGGATTGTGGGGGGGGGGTGGGGGGGGAGCATCCTAGGCTAGACAAGAATTGAATGAGCATATATACTTAGTGTCACATAAGTGTAAGCTTAAGCATTTCAAAGGTCAATTGAGCTTGTATGCTTGAACAATCAGATAGTTATATGACGAGTTATTAGCATATTCTAGTTATCTTACACCCTAAAAGAGATGATTATTTCGTAGTCATAAGAAAAGTCAGAATTCCATCTTTAAGGGTCCTGACTGTTGTTCTATTAGGTGATTTGAATGCTGAGTGCAATTATCATTTTGCAATAACTAAGTTCATGCTTCTCGAGTATCCAGTGGCATACATCCTATGCATCTGTAGCACACCACTGTTTAATTTTTTTCAGACTAGAAATATGTTCCATTTCTCCAAAGCGAATATGCGTAGCATACTTGCCATGCTGATTCCACCTTTCAAAATGTCTGCCTTACCCGTTACCACTTACTGGATGTATAGGCTCTTATAAGTCATGCTCCAATTTCCCATGGACTCATTTATTCCCTTGCAAAGATTTATGTTCACCTATAATAGTGCTCCAGAGAGCACTTCATGCCTAGAATGTGTTCAATTGAGAGAACCTCATCCAAAATCTCAAATGTTCAAATATTTTACCAGTTCAGTCACTATGTTCTCTTCCAAGTCCAGGCACACATATACCCTTGCTCTAACATCATTAATCTTTAACACTCACCTGTTATGTGTATTATAATTTATATGTAACACCCTGCTGATGCCATGAAACTCTTATTTTTATACTCTTTACATGGGGGTCAGATGTCTTCTCTCTGGGCTGAAATCTGGGTTGCTTACTGATATGTTTGAATAAATACTACTCAAAATGTCACAGTCAGAACGAATGGGAAATTTCCATTTTTGATGGCCAATACTGGGGAGATTTGAAAATTTGGGGCCATTGGACAAGCTGAGAGAGGATTCCATTTTATGCATAGTGATCTGTTATATTGCGCTAATGGGTATCAAAAATGCAATTTTTTTTAAATAAACGAGCCAACATGTGCTTCTTGCATTATCTAGGGCAACATCTTGGGTTAAACCCAAAATGTTGCCTAGTGTGACCACAAAAAAACGTGGGGATATCATCTCCTCACATCATGGAGTCTAGGTTTGAAAATGTTGCAGCCAATATGGACATTTTTCATATGAACTGACATTTAAAACAGTGAATAAATTTGTGCTAAAGGCCTTGACCTGGCTGGCTTTTCATCCATATGCCAATACAGAAAATGACGTAGTTTCATGAGGGCCATATTTTAGGTTTATAGTTATAATCTATTGCTATCCAATTCATTGAGATTTATGTCTTAAGACTTTATTCAGGGAAGGTAATCAGTTAGCTTTTTCTATAGGACACACTATATTGATATTGTGTTTGAAATTGATTTTGATATTTCATTATATTGCTTTTATCAATATCAGAGTGTGGCCCATTTAGGATTAAGAACTGTTTTCCAAAGTCTCTCCAGACATGCAATGGAGTACTTTGAATTTGAATTGTGTTGTTTAATACATGTCTAGCATGCCTTTTACTTAACTGGTGAATAGCAAATAGAATGTATAAGAAGTCAAATATGACATTTGGTATTTGATGAGAAGAGTAGAAAGATGAATAAATGCAGAAATATTTATACAACTTAAATTTAAGCATGAATACTTGCAACGGGTGAATGACAAATTGAAGCAATGTAACGATAAGCTTATTTAACATGTAAGCAACGGATAATTTAACGACAAAGTTTGCTTGTAAGTTAATGTTACAGAAGAAGCTAAATGGTATATGTCTGTTATTAAGCCACACTTTTATCAATGTTTGGCAGCAGTTGACTACAGTTCTGATAGAAATTTTGGGGAACAGAAAAGCGGAAGTAGAAAGAGGAAAGAGGGGATTTAGTTTTTTTTTCTGTTTCTTATTTTTGTGGGTTGATTTGTGCTTTTTTTTTTTGGGTGGGGAGGGGGGGTGCTCTGTCAGGTCAGGTTTCAGGTGAAATTCAAACCTGATACTCCCATAGTATGATAGCAATTGCATTTAGAAATTCAAACGTCATACTGCAATAGCAAATGTATTTTGGTAATGAAAATTAAGCTTTCTTACCAAAATTAATTAATTAATTAATTATCAACTCAACTTTCTTATGGTTTATAGTTTGATCCTTTCTAATTGGCCTAATTTGAGTTTTTAAGGCAATTTCTTCTTCCTGTGTGCGCACGCTCGCATGCATGCGTGACTGCCAAATGTATTTTTTGAACATTAAGGATAACAAGTGCAATTTACACTATAACATGTAAGTTCAACTTTGCTGAATTAGGAAATGAAAAAGTTTCCTTCGAACTAGACCTTCTTTTACATGGTTTGCCATAGAGCTCAACTGATTCTTTTTCCCCCTCTTGCCTAAATCCGTTTGTGCACAATTGATTGGTAATTATTTCACTGATAGTACAAGGTGTTTTAGATTTAAGATGCTGACCTTCTTGGACATAGTTTGCCTTAGAGCTTCGTCTAAGTTTTTCTCCAGTTGCTCAAGGCCACTCAAGTTCAGTTGGTTAACATTGGCTTCATTGAGATACCTGCAAGAGAATTTTACATAAAAAAATTCCGCATAATTTTGCAAAAAAAAAATCTTTCTACATCTGGCACTTCGTGAAATTTAGAAGTATGTCATCCTGCATCATAGAAACCTGCACAAATAGTAACTCGGCCCTACGTATTTGCAAGCATATTACCTTTGTGCAATTTCCATTAGCTCAGCATTGCTTTCTGGGCGAGCGAATTCCTCGAGTTGCCTATGTGGCATATTTGGGTGGTGCTGGTACTGTGGTGACATGGAAAACAAATAGGGTTAAATGAAATGGCAGTTTTGCCAACATAGTTAAGAAGTAAGAATTCTATCATGACCTCCTATCACGTTGATCATTTTAAGAAAAACATTTCTTTTATACAAGGCTCCTGGAGTCTTAATAAATTCTTCCAAATTCCAATAACAAGCTGCTTCTACTTACTTTCCTAAAGTTCTATGTATAGTCTCATTTTTCTTTTTCTTATTATTTCCTTTCTACGAGGGTGCAGTCCTGGAAGCCATATCCTTCTACCTTTCATGAGCTTGAAGCTCAGAACCTCTTTAGCATTTTATCCATGTACAGCTGTGACATTCATGCTTCAGTTCGTCTAGGGATTGGGCTTATTTAAGCCTGCAAAATTTTGAAAATTTATCCTTCTTACATATCATCTTCTTGAAGTGATGACATTGGGAATGCTAATAGTTGCTGACAGATATAGGCCTTAGTTATTTTGCAGCTTAAAATTTTGAGTTGCTTATCTTATTTTGATACATGTAGCCGACCCTAAAGCTTAATTATTGTTGTTGTATCTTATTGTGATGCGGTACAAATCCATTTTTGACCTCCAACTGACTAAGATGATTTTTATAGCAGAATAGATTTCTCATCTGCACCATTGTATGTGTTAAAAATTCTGACAATTTGTAAGATACCTTTTGAGAAATGCAAAGAAAAAATTTAGAGATGCTGGCTTGTATTCATATACTATTATGAGATGCTATTTTTTGATAAGCTCAAACTCTTTTAACTTTAGTTGTTCCCGGGATGTACTGTGTATGTTCTGTTGTTTCGTGCACTTTTCTACTCTGTAATAACAATTCTGACAATTTATAAGATTTCCTTTTGAGAAATGCATAGAAAAAATTTAGAGATATTGGCTTATATTTTCATGCTATTGATGAGATATTATTTGCTGATAAGCTCAAACTCTTTTAACTCTAGTAGTTTCTGGTTTCTACTATGTATGTTCTGCTCACAGGTAATGCTCTATAGCACAGCATAGGACGGTTGTACATTTACTTCTATGATTTCAACGGACTTCTGGGAGAAAATGCATAAAATGCACATATATCACCCAGAGGAATTTTCTTCAGGCTTGCCACATATATCTTTTTTACGGCAGACCCAGAGTTCAGATATTTTTTTAGATCAGAAAAATCCGAATACAACAAAAATTTACTATCTCTGCCATCCTATCCTACAAAAGTTGTATGCTATAATCAAAATACAGTTCTTCAGCTCCACCTGTGATCCAAGATCTCCTTTCTTGACATCCCTTTCTGCATCTGAAAATTCCCGATGACGTTGAATAATTTTTTCCATGCTGAGACAGGAAAAAGATAATTGTCATTCAGCTTATTTGCTCGTAGCATCAGAAAGTGATTATGACTTGTGCATTATCATGTTCCATGCAATAAAAGGACTTCTAAATTGATTTTAAAACACAGAAACATGGATAAGGACCAAACCGAATTATAGCCATGGATTGATTGAGATAATATTGATGTCTGGAGACGTTGAAGAAACAAGGCATTGCATTATAATGTGCATGAATAGAAAAATTGATGATCCTAAGAGGTATAAAGCTTTACTTTGTTGACCTTAGGCAGGATAAAGCTTTACTTCGTTAACCGTCACCTATCAGAGCAATTTTGTGTTTGAATTTTAAAACTATCGTCTTGAATTAAATATCTCGATTCTCAAAAAATAAGAATTCATAGTCTAAATCATCTAATAATTGTTGGCCGTGCATCTTAGTCATAGTGTTTTCAACTGATACTGGCTGATATTGTTGCTGGCTTGCTGTAACTCAAAGATGCACTACAATTCTAGATGCACTACAATTCAAAGCACCAGTTGATATTTTTGTTTGGGTGGAAGTGACGCATTATATAGTTACACTAAATGTAAGTATATGGATACTACAAAAACTAAATTTTAGGACATGGTAAGTGTGCTGAAGAACAAGTTTGCATACACGATTTCTGCAGCCAACCCATACCAACATGAAATACATATGCATACAAATAAACTGTCTAGACTGATATACTAGAATGATACTATTTGATCCAACAGTTCTTATACCTTACAGTATGTGGGACAAAACCCTTTGTAATTGGATATGAGACATTCAATCCAACACTACCAGATAGATAGTCATTCTTTGCTGTATTATTTTGTTATCTTTCTACCACCAACTTATTGTTATTTCAAATAATAGTATTTGATCAGATGGGAATATCCAATGGTATTAAGCTTGATTGTCTCGGTCCTTGAAGATTGTCTAATCGTGTTTTTCAATTTTGTTGAGTCATGGGCATGTATCAGGCTTCTACCTCTGGACTCTGTACAGATACATCCGTTATCATGGACATGGTGTTGAGATGTTGAGATGTTACCTTACCATTTAGCTCCAGTTCACCTGATTCTAATCATTCGACATGATTCTTTCTATGGCCTCTTATTTAACTGTAAAAGCAAGCAACCCTGAGAAGTAAATGTAGCACCACAAATGATTTGATGGAATCAAAGTGCTGGCTGTGTGCATTTTCCTTGAGCTGTGTTTTTCGAGATTTAAATCTTGATTTCTTTTAGCATTGAATTGTTTTCATGTATTACTTCTGTAGAAATAGTATGTTTCTATAAATTTTCAGTAAGCATGAGTTTGTCCTTTAGACATTTAAAATATGCGGGTTGCTATTATCATCGAAATCTTTGCTTTTAGGTCTTACATTTATGCACATGCTTGTGTATAGATACACGCTAAATACTTGTACCTACAGCTGCAGGATTATCATTATCAAATGACCCATTCCCCTTAAAACCATGCACCATTAGGGAATCCAGCTTCTCCTCCTCCCATAACTAGCAGTAGCACAAAACAAAGTAACATAGATTTGCTGCAAAGAATTCTACAAATAAGGTGAATCCGCATCAAACCTATTCTGTGTGCTCTTAAAAAACTTTCTCACTTGATCCACCTCATAACTTCTCATCATATCATATGATCTCAAGCTTTGCTTTCTAGCATGCGTTGCAATCCTTCTATTATTGCCATATGTTATCAGGTATCATCAGATATCAGGTTTTAGCTAGCAAGAAGTATCAATGAACTACCGTAGCTCTGCTCTTGCTATTAGGTTCCATTGAATTTTCCAATTCAGTTCATCACTATTTTGAATATTTTATCTAAATCTTAATCTACTCTAATTATAATTATATCATATTCTAATCCCACGTGAATTACCTATAGCTCAATATTTTTTTTTTTTAAATATTAGTAAAATATATGAAATAGCTCGTATTAGTTTATTAAGGTAAAGAAGTAACATGCTATAATATATGAAGTACTATTAAAAAACCCAAAAAGTTTTAGAAATTAGAAAAAACCTTCAAATTTTTAAAATTATACTAAATATTGTTTCAAAACTTTAAATAACAAACATGATATCTGGAAATTAACAATAGCCTCTGAAGAATTTTAAATTAGTAATTAACACCTTCAACATTTTAAAAATTTTAGAAACACATTTAAAAGTTTAAATAATAAAAAGCACCCTTAAAATTTCAAAACTTGCAAACAAAGAACGAATTAAGGGGTTGTCATCTAGCACCTAAAATTTTAAAATTTTTTAAAAAAATAACATCAATGTATAAAAAAAATGGTAGAAAGAAACTTCTTCAAAAAGAATTACAAAAGATCTTAAAATTTTCAAACTTATAGCCCGTACATATCAAATCTGAAAATTATCCCTGAAAATTTGAATTTTCACAAAAAATAATTCAAAGTTTCAGTAATTATAAAAAACACCCTTAAAATTTTTGAGTTGCAAAAATTATCCTAACATTTGAAAACTTACCACACCAACACATGAAACATGAAAATTACAAGTGCCTAATTTAAAATTTAAAAATTTTAAAAAATACTTTAAAGGTTTCAAAATTTGTAAAACACGCCCTTAAAATTCAAAATCATAAAAAACGACTGAATTTTCAAAGTGTTTTTCACTTTGTAATGCTATACTTTCTCAGGTTAAGCTTGGTTTCATGTCGGTCCAAATAACATGATAATTTTCAAATTGAACTTAGATTACATTTATTTCCTATCAATTCAATTATAAATATGAAAATTTAAATTGAGTGTAGCTCATTTAAGCAAACATCAAAGAAAATAAATAATCGCAATGCTAAAGTTCAGAGACGTAAGTGTGCAAAAATCATCAAAGTGGACCAGAGGAACAAATTTTAGTTAAGAAAATACTTAATCATGGTATAATCGCGTGCGTTGCACGTTCATAAATCCTAGTATATATATGTGTGTGTCCTGTGTGTGGTTGTGCGCGCGCACACACACATGTAGTGTACACACCTACACACACAATGCCCACACACATATATAGAGAGGAAAAAGTGTCCCTAAGGTGACACCTTAGAGTCACTCTAAGAAAGCGCCTTCAAAATTATATTATACGCAATAAATTTATTTGATATGATCCATTAATTTCAATCTATATGTTTTGGATTGTATATAAATAAAAAATTAGGCATGTTGAGTTATACTTATTCATGCAACAAGTGATTGTAAAATTGATGGTTTTACAACAATACAATTAAAGAGAGAATGAAAACTGCGTTAGAAGTACTAAAACATCATTATTTTTATTTTATAGAGGTTTTGAGAAATTTAGATCATAATTAATGGAAGAGATCAAATAAATTGATTGCATGTAATGTAGTTTTGAAGACACTTCTTTAGTTTGAACTTTTTTCAGTGATTCATTTTGCTAAATGAGCCATTAAGAGAGCCATGTGGTGAGACTCACATTACTAGTCACATCAACATGTGTGTGTATCATTACTCTCTCTTCATAGCTCCGCAAA